TAGCGCCAATAGATAAAGTTTCCAAAAGCAAAGCAAGACAGTAATAAAATAAAAATAAAAATAAAGTGCAAGTAGAAGTCTTATTATTGCAAGGAAAAAGATGAATATGACAACATGAGATCGCAACGTAAATGGAACAAAGAGTCCACAACGCAACGAAGACAAACACAACTGAAAAAACACCACATATACCTCACAGACAAGACAAGACAAAAACAAGGACGATCATTTAAGAAAATAAATATCGAGCGGATCGATGAATCAATTTTTTAAAATTCTTTTGGATGGCCATGTATAGCAAATATCGTACTTGAGGGTTCTGCTGTTGTGCAAACAGAGACCCTTTTCGCCCACAATCCACAAACAAAAGTTGCAAACATCTTGGTCTCTCTTTTGGTTGTAGATCTCAAAGTAGTGAAAGGAGCCAGGCCACTGGAAGCTGCAGAAGAACAGCGTCGAACTCAAGATGTTCGGTTGGAAATCGAAGGCGTAGCTGATCAGAGAAGGCAGCTGATGGAATCCGAGATCGTCGTCCTTCGATTTGCAGTGAACGGTGAGCTGCTGATGACTTTCCAAAACATTTGTTATGTTCACTGACACTTGAGGAGATGCCTCCACATTTAAACATATTGTTGAGAACAATACGAGGAAAGACAAAGAGAGCACCAAGGAAGCTGAGGGAGCTGCTGCCATTGCTTAATCCGAGGTTTTCTTTTTCCTTTTGTGTGTGTTTAATGGAAGGGACTCGAGGAAGTTTTATATATAGGGAAAGAGGAGAACAGTTATGGAAAATTATAATGGCTATTAAATGTTTCACCGGAAAAATAAATTTTAAATATGACCGTTTTTTTTCCTATATCTTTAATATATCACTTTTAATTACTGGCATGTTTAATATAAAATATATAGAAATTATTATGTGATAAAATATATCTCTAAATATAAAGTTCACTAATACATCAATTTTTTATATGATTGATAAAGTATATAACCTAATTATATTGGTATATCAATATGGATGTGAACTCTAAAAAAATAATAATAATAATAATAATTGATGTGTCGTCAATTCTATTGCGTTATTTTTTGTTAGTATAAATAAATAACAAAAAATATCAACTCGAATTAGGTCGAAGAATTTTTTTTATGACATTAATTAGGTAACTCTTGAACGTAAAACCTTAAAAGGCTGATGTTCTCCCAGCCACAAGGCTTTTTTTCCCCTTAAATGCAATGGAAACGCTTCGATTATCATAGACACAAGTAGAGCTATGGGGCGATATATTATTATTAAATGAATTTCATTTTTATCCTTTGCCATAAATGAGTGCAATTTTAAGTTTTAAAACCGAAGCTTTCCATAAATGTGTTTAAATTTTAATTTTTTATTTTACAAATCTTTTATCATATTAGTTTTTTTTTTCTCCTCCTCGTGAGAGTTGAAAGTTAGACGTAGAATTCTATTGTTAATCTGAGTATAGTTCAATTAGTTTAGACACCTATCTTCAAGTACGAGATTCTGAGTTCGAATTCACATCCCACTTGTTGTAATAAGAAAATAAAAGACCTAAAATTTATTTTTCTTAAATGACTCCATCTCCCATCCCACTAATATTTTGTCAGTCTTTTATTTTAATTTCTTTGGATATATATATATATATATATATATATAATGATTTACAAATTCATGATTATCGAGGAAATAATGTTTTTTTAATTTGAAAAAATATATAACTTTTAATTTCTTGGAAAATAAGAACAATTATAAAACATTTTTTTTTTACTAAAACAAGTTGGGTGGAAAACTTGAACTCTGACCAAAGGTCAGGAACATGTATCAATTATCGCTTCGCGAAGTTCATGTTGACAATTATAAAACATTTCAAGATGGTGTAAAATTGATATGCAATTTTCTAATTTATGGAAGAAAAAAACTTGGTTATGATTTAGCTTACTAGTCAAAAAGAGTGTCTAAGTGATAAGTTAGTCTCTGGTAATTAAAAAAAGTTGTAGTAAAACGAAATATAAGAAAATTGGATCGATTTCATAAATCATTCAATTATTTTATTTTGGTGACTTGTGAAATGCCTTTATATGGTGGGGTTGGTACTAACTTTATATGGTGTGTTTATGCAAAGAATTGCATAACGCTGTTTTATGAACCAAGCTCGAACCCGACACCCGACTTGACCTGAACTCAAGAGTGAACCTGCACAAGAGGGCAAACTCTCCGACACTCAAGTAGTTGGACTCAATATTAAGTTCGAGGTGAGATTCGATACCTGCCTATGAAATGAGGCCCTCTATTTATAGGTGGCGGGTCCGACAGTGAGCACGACCGGCGGTTACCTTTGTCTTTTTTATATCGAACCTGTCGGGTTTGAGTAGATCGAACCCGTTCAGGTCGAATCAGGACTTTTTACACTTAGCCTCGTTTATGGGCAAACCCAGTCTCCTCGGCAGGTTCGAGGTGGACCCGGGATACTTCTTTTTATTTCCCGAACACCAATGAGCGTCCTCCATGTGTTTAGGGTACGTTTATCCCCAAACATGGTGTTTTTTTTTTTTTTAAAAAAAGAAAGATAATATTTGGTTGTTATTGTTAGTATATGGTAAATTGCACCACCAAATATGGCAACGTTTCTGTTCTTAATTTCTTAATTTGTTTTTTTAGTACTAATTTCTTAATTTGATTTTTTTAAAAGGAAAAGAAAACTAATTTTGTTTTTGTTAGTATCCATTTCTTTGATTTTTTTTCTTTTACTCTCTAACAATATTTTCAAAATCTTATCTAATTTTAAAATAAAATAGTTGAAACCTATTATCTTTTAAACCTATTCACTCCCCGTTCAAAATATACAATTGAGGGGCACGCTTCCAATTTCTTTTAGATTTTAAGTTTTAGTTCTTAGAATTATTAAATTTATTTATGATTTAGTTCTTGTATATTTTCTATTAATATTTTTGTGGATTTAACTTGAAATAGAGATATTATAAAACAAAAATAACAATTGAGTCATCATCTCCAAAAAGAAAAGTAATACTAATTCTAATAGGTCCAACATAGACGTTGATTTAGGAGAATTAAAGATCTTGTTCTAAGACCTAACATATCATCCTTGATCTTTGTCCAATATTAGACTAAAACTTTAGACCAGAGGCATGACATCCTCAAAAGCAACACATACTGTGAATCTATTAAAGTTTCTCTACGTAGATTTGAATCCTGCCTCTTCCATTTATTTGTTGTAGACTAAAGAGAAGCGAGAGAGAAGTTATAAGTTCGGCCCGATTTTTCTTTTTGGTGTCGTAGAGGGGAGCGATTGACCTTTCTAGTGCATATTCAGTCGTTTACCGACATCGCCCCACTAATTTTTTTTCCACTCACTTCTGATTACTATTATAATATTCAAGACCAAATTCGTAGAGCTTATTTGGAAAAATGTCCTTGTTAGTCACGAAATCATATATTATTCCATTCAAGAAATTTGAACTGAAGTCGAGATGATGTGTTTTGTATTAGAGAACGATGAGGGGCAAAAATCTCAACCAATTATAAATATGCATCATTATTGTATTAAAGTTTTTTATGCAAGCATTGATATGCAGCTTCAATAGTTGAGTAACCATTTTATTAAAACAAGTATTCAGTAGACATGTTTGAACCTGAGTTGATACATTTGTTGCTTCTGATGGACAAAAACTTAATCGTCTTGATCAATTTTATTTATGAGATTTTTTCAGCCATTCGAACTCTCCGTGTTTGATGATCAACTAATTCAAGATTACATTATTTATGTGTGCTCAAATATGAGTTTCGTGATCCAAGAAGTATGAGTGATCTTGTAGTAAAAATGGTTATGACAAATAAAGATAAGATATATCCATTAGTTTATTAATTGCTCACATTGGCATTGATTTACCTGTTGCACAACTATCGTTGAGAGAACATGTGAAGACTCGATTGCGTAATCGAATGGAAGATCAATGAAAAAAAGATAGTCCCATAATATATATTGATAAAGATTTATTTGATAAGTTAAATAATAACGTCATCATGAATCGATCTCAGAATATAATTAGTATCCTCTTGGTGTTTGACATCTTTCCCCTTTTGTAATTATGATATATCTACCAATTTGCTAAATTGGAGGTCTTTCTCTTAGCCACCATCTTTTTGTGTATGTTTCTCACCTACTTTTTTAATAAAGTGGATATCCTTTTCCAAAAAATGAATCCATCTCAGAACATCAAAAGTGGTAGATAACAATTGTGATGTTATTCAATTAGTTCATTTATATGCTAATTGAACATTTTAAAAATTTTTATATAAAATTTTTATGTGGATTATGCCTCTAGATGGAATGATTGGCCAATCCCCCAGGTTTCATTGTAGAAGGTCTCTTGGCAATTTTCTTGTCGCAAAATATGAAAAAAAAAAAAGAGAAAAAGCTTTTAAACCTTCAAACTAAACCTTCAAACTAATCCAATATTGATTATTTTCAAAACTTTTCAAGAATTTAACAAATCATTCCTTTCAAATTCATGAAATATTGATTATTTTCCCTCAATACCAAAAGAGTCATTGAATGAAACCAAAAGAATCGTGTTCGTCAATATACGTCGCTCAAACCAAGAATCAATAATAAAGCATAACTTAAAAGAATTATATTAAAAAAAACTAAACGATTTTAAGATTTTTATTTCAATTTTCTCTCCTAAATTTTTATAGAGAGAGAATTATATATAATAAATGTTAGCTCGATGTACCATACAATAGATAACTTTTCATAAAACAAAGTAAGATATTATTAAAAAAAATCGATTAACTATATTATTGCAAGGAAACAGACTAATCTCACAACATGAGATCATGACATAAATGGAACAAAGAGTCTACGACGCAACAAAAACAGACAAATACAGCTAAAGAAACACCACATAGCTCACAAACAAGCCAAGACAAAACAATTTATTTAAGAAAATAAATCTCGAGCGAACCAATATATCAATTTTTTAAAATTCTTTGGGATGGCCAAGTATAGCAAATATCGTACTTGAGGGTCTTGCTATTGTACAAACAGAGACCCTTTTCGCCCACAATCCACAAACAAAGAGTGCAAAGATCTTCATCTCTCTTTTGGTTGTAAATCTCAAAGTAGTGGAAGGAGCCAGGCCACTGGAAGCTGCAGAAGAACAGCGTCGAAATCCAGACGTTCGGTCGAAAATCGAAGGCRTAGCTGATCAAAGGAGGCAGCTGATGGAACCCGAGATCGTCGTCCTTCGATTTACAGTGAACGGTGAGCTGTTGGTGACTTTCCAAAATATTTGTTATGTTCACTGAAGCTCGAGCAGACAATGCTTCTACATTGACACAAATTGTTGAGAACAGTACAAGGAAAGACAAAGACAGTACCAAGGAAGTTGAGGGAGCTGCTGCCATTGCTGTCTGTAATAAAATCTAGCGTAATTCGAGGTTTTCTTCTCTCTTTTTTTTGTTGAATGAAAGGGACCATGGGGTAGTTTCATATATAGGGAGGGAGAAGAACAATTATGGAAAATTGTAATGGCTATTAAATGTTTTACCTTAAAAACAATTTTTAAATATATGATCGTTTGTTTCTTGTCTATCCATTCCCAATATCTCCAACAATGGTATGATATTGTCTGTAACTTTGTTTTTTATTTCATCTATATTTTATGGATCATGCTTATTTTGTTCTCATTCATCTTACAAACCTAACAATTCTCCCCTCGAACAAAATACCATCAAGTCTCCCCCCAAGTAGTCACTCATCCGTTTACTCTCGGATCCGAACGAGAGCTTGTTCCTATTCAAGGCTTCCACCGCACCTTGATAGAGCACACCCACATATTACACCTTGACTACACCTTTCGAGGCTCACCACTTCTTCTTTGTTCGACACTTGAGGATTTCACCGACATAGCTAGGTTTAGATCATAACTTTAGTACCACTTGTTAAGGACAACGATACCCTTTACCTCCCAAGTATCTCCACAATGGTATTGTCTGCTATGTGCATAACTTTCTTTACTTTTGATTTCACCCAAAAGATCTCATATCAATGGAGATAATTGTCCTTATCAATATATTATGAATCATGTTTTTCACTTGCCAATGTGAGACTTTATTTGCATTTACTTTGGAAATCCAACACTATCACTAACACATCATTTTTGTATAATTGATAAAGTATATAACTAATTTCATATTGGTATATCAATATCGATTTGAACTCAAAATCGACGATTGATAAAAAATCAATGTGATAAAGTATCAATATGGTTGTGAACTCTAAATAATAATAATAAATAAACAGCAAAAAAAACATCAACTGGAATTAGGTTTGTCGGTGGTAGAATTTTTTTAGGCCACACTAGGTATTCTACAACCTAAAATCGCTGATGTTCTCATTCAAGAAATTTGAATTGCGGGTGTGGAAATTTGAACTCACCGCCTTTTAATCAAAATTAGTTACTTTAACCATATTTTTTTTTATCACCACTTTAACCTTACTTAAAAGAGCAATATTTTGTGTTATTTTTCTAGAGGATTTTTTTTTTTTTTTGTTAAATGCAATGGAAAGGCTTCAATCATCATACATACATGTATAATATATTAGGAGAGCTATATGGTGATATGTATATGTATATATATGTATATTATTATTATTAAAAGAATTTCATTTTTATCCTTGCCATAAATTAGTGCTATTTTAAGTTTAAAAAGTAAAACTTTACATAAATGAGTGTAAATTTTAATTTTCTATTTCACAAACTTTTTATCTTATTTAGTATTTGAATTTTTTCAATATCGAAATTCGAAAGCATAGTTCAATAATTGATTTAGATACCTATCTTCAATTTAGATCACAAAGTTTATGAATTCGAATCTTCAATCACATTGTTGCAGTAAAAAGTATCTATTTAACTTCTCAAATGACTATCGAGCACTAAAATTTTGTAAGTCTTTTCTTTTAAATGTTTTTGGATCGATAAGTTAGTCTCGGTCTCCAATATTATTAAGAAAAGTTGTAGTACAAGGAAATATGAGAAAATTGGATCCATTTCATAAATCACTCAATTATTTTCTTTTTCATTTATGGTAGGTTTGTGAAATGTCTTTATATGGTAGGGTTGGTACTATCCTTATATGGTATTTTATTAAAAAAAATATTCGGTTGTTATTGTATGATAAATTACACCATCTAATATGGTATTCTTAATTTCTTAATTTGCTCTCGATTAAAAACTATATTTAGTTCATGTACTATCGTCAAAGTAATGATTTAGTCCCTAATTTTTAAAAACAACTACTTAGTTTCTCAACTTCTAAATTTGATGATAATGATTTAGTCCTTTTTGTCCACAATCCACAAATTTCTATTTTTCAAAATCTCATTATTATTATTATTATTATTTTGTTATAATGCTAAACTGTTTTTTCTTGACATATTTCTCTCAAACAAATATCTCTCTCAAACTATTTTTCCTACAATAATTTATTTTTTAAAAAATTTTATCTTTGAAATATTTACTATTATTTATCTCTCTACAAAAATTTCATCTTTATATATTTATATTTCTTTCTTTTGATTCTAATCTATCACTTTTATTTTTCTTTGTAAAAATTTAATATTTTTCCTAGTGTCTCATTTTCAAATTTTGTATTTTATAACTTTTGTTTCCTTTTATAGTCTATTTTTCTCTAAAAAATATATCTTCAACTTTTCTCCATCTAAATTTTTCAATTTTCTTTCACTTATAACTTTTATTTCTCTTTTTACTTATTTATTTTCCGTAACATGAAGTTTTTCTTGTCTAAATGTGTTGTTCTAACTATAATTTTTCTTTCTCTAATATGTGTTTTGCTGTCTAAGACTAGATAATGCATTTCCCACCATGTCTCAGTCGCCGATACCATTTTTAAAAATAATTAATACATATTTTATTAACTATTTTACTAAATTATGAATGAATATTTAATATTTTTAGTAAATAATAATTTTTGATTAAAATAGGTATAAATTCTATATCTTGATTACTTTTTATCTTTTAAAATCTAAAAATAATAAAATTATTTATTAAACCAATCATCTTTCTGGTGAAGATCCTCATCCCCAAATGGAGATTCCTAAACCTAGTCCTCAATTTTCAGAATCGGTGAACAGAGTGTAGATGAGAATTAAAAATTTTTGTGGAGGAGAGCATCCCGACTCCCGTTATGATATCCATCTGACATAAATTTTTTTCTCTCTAACATATATTTTAAATTTTAACTTTCTAAAAACATAAAACCAAAACTTTATCAAGTTTTTCATAAAACAATAAAATAAAAACACTCATAAAATATATATTGTTTTTGTTTTCTTTTTTAAATTAGAAAATAGAAAAATAAAAATAGTTATCAAACGTGTTTTAATGTTTGAATGGATGTTGTTCTTGGCATTTATTCGGTTCAAACGTTTCAGAAATTAAAATAGATAATCTACTTATATGAACTTGGAAGATTGATACAACATCAGATTTGATTAAAGGGAAAAAAAATCCACTATTTAATATTTTCTCTTCAAGCTTTCCAATCTTGCAATGATTTTGGGAAAACCCCAAAACTTATGTGTTTTTATTATATAATTTTTTGTTGAATATTTCCAATATTGCTATGATCTCCCAAAAAAAAACTAAAAACTTATACGAAAAAATTAATAGCTTGTAACTCCTCATATGGGATTTTTTCTCTCTCTCTTTTCCAAATGATTAATGAAAAATTAGAAATAAAAAAGCGTGATGTGACAAAAGAAACAAAATATCTAAGATAACATGAACTCGTTTGATAACATTTTTGTTTTTTTTTACTTTTCTGTTTCTTCTTTTTTAATAAAGAAAAATAAGATTACATGTCCCCAGCAACTTTGAATTCAAAGATGACCAAGCACCATATATATGTATATTTTGTAACAAATTGGAAACGGAAATAAGAATCAAGAAACCTTGTTTTGATTGTTTGCAAAATTTCTATATAATTTTGAGAATGTTTCCAAAAAATGATAAACAAGAAAACAAAATGTTTGTTTCTTAATAAAATTTGAAAACCAGACACAAGAAACGAGAACGTCGTTACCAAACGGGTCCTATATTTCTCACTCTCCTCTCAAATCTAAGCAGCTTTATTTATTAATAGGTCTGTATAAATCATTCTTCAAACAGGAAAATTTTGGAAGCTACAATGAAAATGCACTATAGAAATAAAAAGAGATTGAAGATGGGCGTCAATTCCCAACCATATGTCTGTGTATATAGTGGCACCAAATAACCTCATTTGAGTTCTGTTTCAGAATAGCTTCACACTTTATTGAGATGGATCATATCTTATCTACGTTAAGATGTCAAGGTCTCAATTCTTTTTTGCTCGAGAACGCTATAATGTACCATTAGAAATTTAAAGGATCAGATTTGTGCACTATAGATAATGATAAGAAAGGGCTCACAGGTTTAATTTGACGTTCTTAATTAGGTATTCTAGGTATTTGTTGTGTGTTATACTTATAAAGTCTCGTAAAGAAGACTCGTTGGAAGGCTATTTTCGAAGCTTGGACCGAAGGCAATGGAGAAAGGGGAGCGAATGATAGCACTTCAGCACATGATCGAGCTAGTCAAAGACGTTGAGAAGATGGAGCCTAGGCGATATGACTTGAAGCATCTTCTGATTTCGAAGTACCATGACGCCCACTTCTAGGCCTATGTTGCTAGTTTGCACAGCCAGCAAGAGTCACATTTCCTATTTAAAGGAAGGTTCCTCTTTCTTTTATGTGAAGCACGACAACCGTTCTCTTTTAAGGCATGAGAGAGATATATGGCAAATCTCATAGAATACTAGGCGTAGCTATTGTTGTGGAGAAATCTCATTATAATTTTCATGTTATGTAGAATATGAAATTGGAGAATACTTGACATAGTTGCGGGTTTAGGCCGAACTAGTATGAACAACTCTGGTGCTACTTCTTTCCATTCTTTATCTTATCTTCCATATATTATTGTTAAACTATGATCTGCTTCGTCCTATTTAAAATGGATTTGTTAGGACTTACGGAATTAATTCCCCATCATCAACTTAATTTTTTATTATTATTATTTTTCTTTTTGTATGAGCTAGAATTTTATTTTATCTTTTAAAATTTATTTTTCATTATTCTCTATTGTTGTTGGTGCTGCACCCATTAAATATTAGTCATATGCAAGATACTAGCTAGTACCCCACAAATAATATCCACCAATTTTGAAGAACATTATTCTTGCAAGTGTCTTCCAATATGTCCCATTTTGGTTGCTTGGTAGTAGATTACAAGTAGCCAATTTGGATACATTAAAAAAATTATTTCTTAAACAAAAATATAAAAACGAAATTAAGTGGGATAATATTTCAGCCAACCTCTCTCTATATGCTTTAACTTTAGTTTAAGTTTGGTTCTAACATACTTTTAAAATTCCTTTATATCGTCTCTACTTTTTAATTAAAACTTACTAAGTATATTTGGTATGTTAGTATAGACAAATTAAAGTATAATAATGCAAATTAGTGACAGAATTTAACCAGCATATGAGATTAATTCTAGTCCCTTTTATGTTTTTCAACCTTGTCTTAAAAATCTAACTGGAATTCATGCTTTTAAACTAATTAGTCTAATTTTCCATACCAAAAAATAAAAATATTCTTATTGAAGAATGTGGCTGCCCTAATAATTATTGGAGGCAAATTCGAGATTTGTATGCCTCTGGATAACGAAACACGTTTGTAATTTCTCTCTCATACATCTATAAATAATAGGTATAAAATTATCAGCCACGTTCTGACGGTCTCTCCTCCAATAATTTCTCGAGCAAAACAATGTGTCGCGCACATTAGGAAACTAAAAAATACTCAAACCTGAGTTTGGTTTACAAGAATATTATTGTTTGTGTGAAAGAGACCATACCAGCAGGAAGCACCCAACCATGAATTATGTGGTTGAAGGCACCCAACCATTCAATTTTGTGTTTTGTGAATGGGAAACCATAAGATTGTGAGATGCTAAGGTTTTCTAAAGTAAAGAGAGATTTTATGGAGATAAGATTTTCAACCCTATTTATTGCAAACGATAAGATGGGGAAAACAGTAAGAAAAAATAAAGATCGCATATTTTCTTGCTAACATATATTAGCATATTAACATACAATCGTTCTTTTTTAACAACAAGTGGGGTGGGGAGATTCGAACTAGTGAAGTTACGATAAAATAAACTTTAGAATCTTTTTGTTTAATAACACGTTAAATCATTACTGTATCTAAAAACTTAAATTGATGGGTTAATTTTCTAAATGTTTATCATTTGATATATCTTCGCAAGGATAAAATCGGATATCCTGATACCTCTAAACCCTTCAAACGAGAGAGAAGATGACAATAAATAAGGTGATGGAGGAGGTAGGAAAACACGCGAACGAATATCTCGAAACGAAAAATCAAGTTCACTATAGATGGAAAAATGACTTGAGCTTGGGCTTATTATATTGGTGTTTTGGTGATTAGTCTCCAACTTATGAACAACATGTGAGATCATAGAGTGCGTTTCAACTTTTTTTTTTTTCTTCCGATTTTTCTTTGTGTTCTGGGAGGCATGAGATCCAAGCATCAAATATGAATAAACCAGTGAACGAATTCATGAATTTAAGCTAAAAGGTTGGATAAATTCAAATTTTATATCGATATCTCAAAACTCTCCTCATTTATGGGTTCGAAAATGTATAAAAAGTCCAACGAATAGAAATGAACATAAATGGAGAGAAAATAAAAATACAAACAATTTGAACTCATATTAAACATCAATAAATTACCCATATAACTCAAAAGCTTAACTTGAGATATCTAACACATATGTATCTTCTTGAATGTGATAGAACAGTAACTTGTAGTTAATGGACACTGTGCAAATAGTTTCCAAGTTGTCGGATTTGGACAGATTTTACAGGAATATTCTCGAAGTATTATTTTAGCTGAATGGTCGAGATCAATAATATATTATATATTGTAAATTTCTTTTTAAGAAACAAATAACTTAGTGGGTGACCTCTTTAACGGTTATTAATCTCATAACCATTTATAATACAAGTCGATTTCAATAGTAAAGTTTGGAAATTAATATCTAACATTTCAAACTTTATGTCACTAGAACATCTTTTTTCCTCTCGATTTTCTCTCACCTCATTCTTTATTACACCATATATATAGAAATCACACATTTCCTTGAAAAGATGAAAAAAAAAATTTCCGTACAACATATAAGGGTGAGGTTCGAACTTATATCTTTTTAATTGGAGACAACGTCTCTTCTACCACAAAATATATTCCCTTTATTCCGTTTCCCTTTGAATGGTAAGATTTCACATGCCATAAATCTTCTATCTAAACTAGTGTCACATCGCATCATCCTTTATCAAAACGTAGTGCTTGTTGTCATAATTCTTTATTAATATCTTAGTTTACCATGATGGCCACATCTATCGTATCTTGTCTTTAAATTGATATTTTTTTAGTTAAATAAATGTAAGGATATTAATATCGAATCTAGAGAGTAAGGTTATATATATAAATATATAACGATAACTTTCTCCATTGATAAAATCAAAAGTAAAATTTTTATTTTTTATTTTTTATTTTTTAGAAAAGGAATACTAATTATTGATGTAGGTGAGAAACATGGACAAAAAATGAGGCCTAAATAAAAGCATTCCAATTAAGAGAAATTGTCGTGGAACCATAGTTACAAAGGAGAGAAGATCTTGCAGACCAAATAGAAGCAGTAACCATAATATCCTCCCAGAGACTAGTAGTCAATTTCAAAGTTTTGGAGAATGTTATGTTGTTTCCGCTCTAACCAAGTGTGCCAATGGCATTGCTCCATAAAATGTTTTTCTAGCTAGTTCGTGAGCGGGATGGAAAGGCTTTCAATTATGAATCGATCAATTTGATTTGGGAGGACAAAGTTGGTTTGGAAGGAGCCAAAAAGTCTGATCCAAAGTCCCGCTCTTTATGAAGTCGCTTTGCAAAGATGGCACCAACAAGAGCTGATAAGTATGCATGAAGACGCTCTAATCAAAAGCAGAGTTATAAAGATTATGTCTAAAGTAGATAATATTTCAAATTCTGACCTTTTAGTTAATGACATATGTCTTGAACGGTTGATATCACGAATCTAGATTTGAAAATTTTTTTAAGAGTTGCATATAAATAATTTCATCACTCCCTTTACACTTGCACCTAATTTGTCACTACGTAGTTGCTTCCCAATATGGTAAATTTCTGTCCCCAACCATTTATAATGGGAAAAAAAACATCCAACATACGAACCATTGAAAATCCTGACGTTGTCAATGTGAGCTGACACTCTATTCAAATGCACACATGTCCTAAGCCTTTTAATTATAAGCTTCAATTTATATTCCCCAATAATGTTCCTAAAACTTTTATTTTTTCATTAAATTTTTATTACATTCAACATAAAATTTAAATCATATTTTTAAATTCCATATCAAACTCCTTTAAAAACAGAAAAATGAAGAAAATCAATTCACTGCAAAAAAAATTAAAAAAAAATAAAATTATAACCTAGATCAAGGCACTTATACAAGATTTTGGTCCAAGAGTGTTCCATCTTCCAATTTATTGAACTAAAAATACAAAATTTTATTTAAAATTTCAAAAGAAAAAAAGAAAAAGAAAAAAGAAAAAAGTGCATATGTAACAAAATTTTATGATGAAGTTTACAATAATTGCAATATGTTCATTTACAGTAAGTGGTCCTTTTTGTTCAATGTCACATTTCTTTCTTTGTGTGTGGTGGAGAGAGGTAGAGAGAGATCTGTAAACAATTTTTTAAAAAAAAAACTAAAGTTAATTGATAAACTCAATAAACAATAAACAAATTAAAGTTGATAACTAAAATATGAAACTTCTTCTGTATGGATGGGAGTACGACAAAAGAAAACGAAAAGAAAACACTATGTTGTTAGAAGTCTCATTATTTTAGTATTTTTTCCATTTATTACCTTAGTTTTCATTTGTTTAGTTCAACAATTAACGGTAGAGATTGAACCATCGACTTTTCGAATAGATCCACTTAGTTATAGTCAACTAGAATATCATTTTCTATTGTGAATTGGAAAAAATTTCAAATATTAATTAAAGCTACGAGAGAAAAAAATAATTAAATAAAACTCCAACTTTGTACAGATCTCGAGAAATTAGAAATCTTGTCTTCTTATAGATAACCTTATTCATTGTTAACCTGAGTTTAGCTTCACTGATTAAGACGTCTTATTCATCTAAATTTATGTCATTAGTTCAAACCTTTGCCCCCACATCCACATATACTTTTGGAGATTATAACTTCTTATTCATCTAAATTTATGTCAACTCACGAAGTATATAACTATATATAACAATTATGTAAAAAAAAATATATTTAACATAAAAAAATGTATTATTGAAAAATGTTAGTACTCAATGAACTAAAAGACTAAGTCTTTTAAAAAGATGGAAAATATACTTAGGTCTTTACCGGTGACGACCAAATCTTGTCCCTACCCCCATGAAATGTTAGATAATTCATTAAATTTTAGAAAATATCTTTTTTTGTATTTCTCTCTCTTAAGTGTAAAAAAAATAATGGTATTAATAATAAGATTAGTCCTCACCGATAAGAAGCAAACATCGTCGAAACAAAAACAAACATTATAAGTAAAAACGAAAACAAAAGAGGTGACTCAACGCCAGTTATTATTCATAGTATCTCATTCCATCCCATGATCAAAAACGAAAAACAAAACTTACAAAACACAAACAAAAAACAAAACTTCCAAACATACACATACAAAAATCACCACTGAAAATCCTTTTTCCAATTAACCTCATCAGGGCTAAAGTAGAAGCCATGTTCCGTGACAAGCCAAGAACACTTGTTGAAAACCCGACATCGGTAGAAATCTCTTGGAACCTTAAACGCATCGAAGGACTTTCTCTTGGAGTCCCATTTGATGGTACAAGAGAAGCGGTGGTGGTCGGCGTTCCAGAGCGTGGTGGTGACGCGCCAGCCGAAGTCGTCGTGCTCCTGCAGCGCCCTACCGCCCAGGTCGCTGTGTTTGGAGGAGCACCATATGACCAGCGGCAGCGACGAGTTGTTTTGGAAGCCATTGATGACTCGGACCTCGAAAACGACGCTGTGTAGGAAGAGAATGAAGATTGCGAAGATGATGAAGGAGAATGATGAGAGGAGGAAGAGGAGGGAGATCATGGTGCTTGCGACCTTCTTATTCTTCTTCATTTTGGGATTTTGGGGAGGGGAGGAAAAATGATGGAATTGAGGGAGTTTTTGTACTTTGATTTGGATATTTAATGAGCAAAATTCTCAAATGTCATCTCTATTCTCTCTATTGCTTTTGTTTTTCCTCTCTTGAAAGAGATAAGAATTTAGTGCTCTGAAAAAGGAGGATGGAGTAAATTTCATTCACACGTTTGGAGTTTCTTGTTTCTGTTTTCTAAATATTTAACAATTGATTTTTGTTTATTGTTTCCTCTCTATTCTCTTTTGATTTTGATTTTTGTTTATTGTTAGGAACATTTTAAAAAAAAAAAAAATTGTTTCTTGTTTTTTTTCAACAAAATCAAGTTTTCTTTTTATTTTTCAACAAAATCAAGTTTTCTTTTTATTTTTATTTTTAGAATAATAAGTTGTTACCAAATATAATTGTGGTTTTCTTTGTTAAAAACGAGGAAACAAACAAAAAAACAAGAAACAAACGGCCCTTCAAAACTAGTGTCCAAAATTCTAAATTTTTTTTATTCAATAAGAAAGTGGGATTGCACTCACAATCTCTTAGATATATATCAATTATCACTGTGCTATGCTTACTTTTGTCCGTTTTTTTGTTTGGTTTGTAATCTAAATATATAAATTTAAAAATAGTGGGTGCGAAAAACAAAGTGTTAGTTAGTGTTTTCAGTATTTTTTAATGTATTTCTAATAGAAGATTTGAAAATTGAATTTCAATTTAAAACTTATTGAAGTTATTGAAGGTGTGTTTAATAATATATTTGTAGATTAATACTAGACAACAACTAAATATTTAGTTCAATATAAAAATATTATTAATTAATTAATATATATATATATGTTTTAAAATTTAAGTAAAAATTTTATTTTAGTAAATTTGTAACAATTTAGTTCATATAATTTCAAATCGTTTTTATAATAAAAAAAAGGGCCGTGATTTGATTGAGTCATCAAAAAGTTGATCGTCAAAAAGTGTCGAGTGTTTAAAAATTATAAATAGATGAAATATGAGAATATGGTATTCTTTTATTTTTAATGTGAATTATTGACCCTTTTTAATTATTTTCTTTCCATATGTGGAATATTTCTTTACATGGTATGTTAGAGGCGGCCTTATATGGTATTTTACAAAATGGAAAATAATTGGTGTTTTAGGACGTAATATGATAAATTATACTAATAAACTTGCTTATTAGTAATTTCTTTGTTTATTTTTTGTTTTTATTTTTGAAAATATCATTAAAATATTAGCTAATTTTTATAATATTTTTAATTAAAATTTGATTATTTTTATAAACAGAATTAATTTTTAAAGAAAATAAGTTTAAAAAAAAAAGTCACGAAATGAGCCTTAGTTAAGTAAATAATTTAAACATGTCAATGTGTAATTTTTAAACATGGGTAGAGGTGTTAAAAAAATTTAATGATCTGAAAAAATCAATCACCCCGACCCAATTTATACAATTTTGGTTCGGTTAAAATAAATTAAAATTCTATAAGTTGGGTTGAACCGAACAACCTCAAACTTAGTATTAATTTTAAAACTATTTCTTTCCCCTGCTATAAAATTATATATGGATATATTATTTTAATTTATTCAATTTAATAATTCTTTATAGATTACTTATTCTACCATCACTTTAAAATACTTGGTAAGTTTTGGAATGTAATTTTTCACCATATAATAAACATTGACCTACGGATGTTAGAAAATATGTAAAATAAATGTATAAGATATTATAATTTTTATACTCTACAATGTTAATTTGAATGAATGACTTGAATAATTCGAACCAATCGGATCCAAATATTTTATAGCTGAGTTGAGTTGAGTTTATTATTTAATAAGAATTGTTTGGTTGAATAAATTTACAACCAGGAGTACAATTGTATTAGGTCTAAAAAGTATATCTCAATCCAACCCAATCGAACTCATGAAAATCAAAAAAAATATTTTCATCAAAAACTATTTTTTGTTTTTCTAAAGACAGAGATAACTATATTTAAAAAATGATTTCCAAATAGCCCTTGAATTTTTTGAAGAAATGTTTTTTTAGAAAAACTTACTTAAAAGATGTAATATTTCATATAACTTATACTCTCCTTCTATGGTAACATGTATTTTTCTATTGATGCCAAATATTAAAACTTTGAGATTTTGAATAATTCTAACAAAATTAATTATAATCAAAGAAAAACTTGTAGTTTAAGAGAGATTAAAAAAAAGTGGAAAAATGCAGCTGGCAAATGCCACCAATATATCCTTTTTATGTACTAGCCTTGTCAAGATAACATTAAATAAAAATGAAGCATGCAGCATATCTAATCAACTTTTTTCCAATCTTGATAAGCTTCATTTATTATTATTTTTTTAACTTTCAATGTTTAACTCGAGATATATATATTAGTACAAACGGAGTCTCGAACCCGCCATCTTTTGGTAAGGAATATACGTTTTAACAATCAGCTGAACTAAACTTTATATGAAAAATAATTTTTATTAGTACCATTAATTTTTTATAAAAATTATTTGACAAAAATTTGACATGTAATAATGGGTCACTACATCGACCTCAATGATTATCAAACTTTAGAACTTTTTTTCACAAATTTATATTTTATTGATGATTTTGGTTAGAAGATTGGCATCAAACTTTATAAAGGGATTAGTGCTAATGATTTAAGTAGATGGCAAATAATTGCACTTTGACAACAAAACATAAGTTTGATTTGGAGGTTAATGAGATCCAAACCCAACTTTTTCTTCTCTTTTCTTCACTAAACCCCAATTGGTGTAATAAAGCAAAAACAGCTGCAAGCCCCTATATATATATGTATAATAATATATTACCCATTTGATCAAATGGTGAAAACTCCACAAGTGGCCTATTTATTTAAAATTTTTGTTTTAATAACTTTTTTATTTAAAAGAAATAGGCATGTCTAAGTCTACTGATTATTTCTTGGTAAAATACACTCAAAAAATAAAAATTAAATTTCTAAGATTTGACTTTATTTTTTATAGCATCTTAACGGGCGTTTCTAAACCCTCTGCTAACCTATTGGACGACATCAAAATCACTGCATCTACTTGGTCTTCCAAATCTCCCTCTTTTGTAATTATAATATTGTATTCATTTCTATGAACGGGAGTGCTTTCATTTAGGCACCTTTCTTTTGTATGTTACTTGCATACGTCTAATGAAAGTATATTTTTCATATCAAAAGGAGAAAAAAAAACTTTATTTTATTTTTTTATGCGAAAAAACATTAACAATAATGATATAGATTAGAAAAAACTAAATTAAAAAAATAAAAAAAAAACACTATCTCAAGCTTTATATTACTCGCACAACTAGAATTAATATACCAAACTTTAAAATATTTTCTATTGGGATGCATAATATCTAAAGTCATGAGCCCTTTTAATACTTGGAGTACTTTGGTACCTTAGGTGAGATTTTTCTCTTTTAATATTTTGCAAAAACTTTAAAACTTTAATTTAGGTGATATTTTTATTTTTATTTTATATATTTTTATCCATAATTTATGGTATTTGGAATGTATTGATGACTCTAATATACCAAATGTAGGACCGGGCCTCTACTATTTTGAATGTAAGTAAATTACTTTTAATTTTTTGATATAATTATTGTTAATTAGCAATTTCAAAACTTATTTTATTTTTAATTCATTTGTATATAAGTAATATTATGTATATGAGTATTTTTTTTTTATAAATTATAGTATCTATATCTTTTATTTACTCTCTATAAATCATCAAATTTTTTAGATTCGATTGTTTTTATATTATATATAATTTTTAATTTAAGTTTTACAAATTCTAAAGAAGTCACAATTGGAAGATTAATTATCTAAATGTTAGTTTTTCTTTTAACTTTACTTCATATTTACTATGAATTTAAGGTTATTTTGTATATAATAGTGTACTTAAAAAACATATATAATAGTTAGTAAAAAATCTCCCCGAACAAAAACGATGTATCCATCACTGACTGAACATATTTACTGAACTTTATATAAAATTTCCTAAATAAGAATTCTAGATCCGTGAGCTGCACGTAGTTATAACAAATTTTAGATCACTCCACACACAAACCAAACCATAAAAAGAAATTGAAATTGCTGCAAAAATTTTAGGAAAAACTATTTTTCTGCATGAATTTTAAGAAACCAGACATGACAAAATACACAATAACATAGATCACATTATGGAATCACACGGCGGCGGATCGATGTATTCCAATAACGGAAACAAGTGCTCAAGGAAATGGCAGGCCGCCGCCTACACCGCCAACTCCGCCGCCGACGCCGCCAGCTCCGCCACCTACGCCGCCTATGCCGCCGACGCCGCCGGGGATGATCCCGGTTCCACCACCAATTCCGCCGAACTTGCCGATGCCACCAACCCCGCCAAAGCCAAGATGTGGAAACAACCCTCCAACAAAGCCACCCATCCCTGCAAAACCTCCAACCCCACCAAAGATGATTTGCTTTTGCTCGCGGACACCACCGCTGCTCGGCGGGTCTGCCACCGGTGTCGGTGCCAGTTCTAGGGTTTGGTCTTTGTCGTCGCTGCGGTCATGACCTATATCCTCATATTGATAAAACAAACTTTTAAATTCAGTGGTAGTTAACCATGTATTATTTGTAATTGATCATGTGTAACTTTTGAAAAACAATTTGGAAGTAAAATTATATAAATAAAAATGTACAAAAATTCACTCATTTTGCCCCTTGAGCTAATTTCCAAATATATATACGATAGCAAGTTTAAATTTTGACCTCATATATCTTTTACATAATATTAAAAAAAAAGTAAAGGAGAATGTTGGAGGACTATTAACAAAAATACTAAATAGATTATAGTTGACAAACTTTTGAGTTTAGTAGTAGTTTTAACGACCTGGAACGTGGCGGCCGCTTGCATGTACGACCAGTAGAACAAACGCTGCAAGGACGACGAAGACGTAAATCTTCACCATTTCTCTCTCTCTCTCGATTTTTTGTGGGTACCTGAAGTATTTTGATGCATGGGGGTGGAATTTATAGAGAAAATTGAGGAGGGGGAGGCAGTTGAGAGTAATAAATTAGGGTTTCATAGTAAATGGGTTTTGTAAGACAGTTCATCTCTAACAGGAAACACCAACCTCGAACAGACAAATTTCTTTAAATTTTGGTCTCAAAGAGTTAGAAGAACTCTAGTTTTTGTTTGATTTGCATTCATTATTTTTCTCAGATATAACTGTTTGATGGGGAATAGCGTATGGCACGTGAGCTTCACGTGACTCTCATTCATCTCTATCTGCAGTTAATAATCCTACTGAGCCTTTCAGAGGGATCATTTGGCCTAAGTAGAGCTTCCTGTGTGGCATAGTTATTAAACCAGATTTAAATACTCTTTTGATCGACTTTAAAATTTGATTTTGGTTATACTTACTTTGACGACATTCACTTTGACCTTTATCCTACTTTTAACAGTCGGTTATCTCTTTTTGGTGCAATATCATATCAACAATAATGTATCGATTTCTATCGAAATTCTACGTGAGAATAGTACTAAATTAGATGATCACTTAGGAAGTCATAGTGTTGTACCTCTTGGTCACTTCTCTTTTAATAAGTAACTAATTTGGTCTTTATTTGTAAAATTTTAATACAAATTTTATAAGATGAAAACTCTTTAATGCAAATTTATAGCTACAGTTCAAAAAATTTGTCATACTCTAAAATTACGATGAAACTAAATAAGATAAAAATGAAAATGAAGAGTGGTCCCGTTTCTTAAAGTATATACGTACACTCTACAATACCTTATTACTCTAAAAAGTTATTTTATAGTAGGAATGAAAATACTTTTGAAGACCTCCAAATTTATATCTAGAAAGGAAAATTTAGTGGACCTTTTTGAGTAAAAATATGAATGGATTTCTGCATGAGAATCTTTGTTCTAATGGAAACAAGTTGTTGAGTGGCCCTTCTTCAATTTATTGGTATTAAATTTGCTAGTCCAATGTTTTTGTTGTATTGACATAGTTTGAGGCTATTTTGATACCAGCGAACTTGCTAAATCTTAGCATGTGTATAATCCACTCCCATGGTTGATTTTCAACTACGTTTAGGTATAATAATAGCCTTCTTAGTTAACCTGAACATATATTTCAACTCGTTAAAACAATTTTTGGGAAATGGGAACCACTTTATTTAGTAAATAGTATTAACCGGTTTAAGACATATCATCAATAAAAAAATTAGAGGCATTCCAATCTCCACCCACGTGTTAATGAACTCAAAAACAATGAAATATATAACATCTTTATATGAAATACTTAAATAATATGTTAGTACTATTAATATTCATGGACGTTCCATATCAAAACTAGTTAGCAATAAGAGGAGTAATTCATGTCTATTACAAAGTTTTAAATGTCGATGTCGATGAAAATATCAAAATCTTAATTTCATGGAAATGTCGATGGAAATACCGATAAAATGTCGATGTTGATGGATATTTCTATACAAGTCAGAGAAATTAAAAAATCGTAAAAAAAAAAATTAATTACCAAAATAACATTTTCTATTTCTAAATGAGTTAAAAATGATTGGTAGAGTGAGCATAGCTCAACTATAATTGACATATATCTCCAAGAGCCTCTGAGTTCAATCCCCCACCCTACATGTTGTACTAAAAAAAGTTTAAAATGATTAATATTAATATACTAGGTATATATTAGTGACATTTTGTTGATATTTTTCATATTTGTTCAATTTTTATAATATGATGGAAGTGTTGATTTAGTCCTATCGATGTCGAACTCATTGATACATGGAAATATCGATACGTCAATGGATATTTAATACCATGGTCTATTATAAACTTTTGTAAAATTCTTTTTCTTTTCAAACATGGATCATTGACTACAACTGATTATTTAAATATCTATAGAGCACACTCTACAATTTCAGTGGGTCTAATTCTTATAGTGAATTTATGGCTATATGGTTGAACATGATGAAACATTTTATTAAAGAATATTAACGTAATTGAACTCACTCTAATAGGTCTGGATGGATTTTAAATAAATTTATTTGTTTTATTTAATAAAATTTAGTTGTTTGTTTATCATGTGAAATATAGAATTCTTTGAAATCATAATGTCATTTAACAAAATCTCATAAAATTTTAAGGTAAATTATTAATAAAAAATTTCAAATCTCAAAATTTAAATATGTAAAATTTGAAAACACGGTCATTTGTGAAATATAATTTCTAATATGACCTACCGAAATAATTCTTCTACAATTTTTGCACAATTTCTATATTTATTCAATATTGTCTAAAGTTGGGGTTCGAGCCCTCCTTGGACCAAACGTCCATCGGCTTGGTCCTAGCCCATATCACCACCTTTTATTAACCTACTATTTTTTTTAGTACAACTTTATTAACCTACTAATGATAATTTAACAAGGAAAATTTTAATAATTTTATATCTCCATTTAGGGTTAAAAAACACTTCATTTCCAACCTGTCACATCTGTCCCAAGAAAAATCATCACTTTATTTACCTAATAAATTTTGCCTTCAGAAATAACATTAATAACCTTCTATAATCTTCAAGATCTCTATGGATACTTAGCCCTACATATTCTTTATATGTATATCTTCCATTTCAATATCTTTCCATTGCACTTATTCTCAAAACAATTGGCAAAAAAATGGCCCATGGCTGTGCATCTTCCATTGCTCTAAGATTTATTCTCTTCGTCCTTTGTTATTTTACTCTTCTCTTCACTCAGTATAATAGTTTTTCAACTCGTCAACCTCCTGTTCCAGACCTGTTTGATAACAATTTTGTTTACAGTTTTTATTTACAAGTGAAAACAGGGCTTTGATGTAAATGTTTATTTTGTAGGAATGGCTGAAATCCAGTGTCGGAGCAAGTGTGAAGACCAGCCAAATTGTGATGAGTTCTGCAGAAGAATTGGCTTTTGGGGAGGAAAATGCTTTCCTCCATTCTATCAATTTTGTTGCTGCCAAAAGTGATTTGAAATAAAATGCTTCTCTCTTTGAACGACCAAAAGCATGGCTCTGAAATTTCAATATCAACTTTTCTTTCTCTTCTCCCTTTTTCAAGTTGTTTCCCTTCTAATAATATGGAAAATAAAAATGTGTTATTCTACATTTGATATTGATTTAAGGAGCACGTATATATATGGCAAAACAATCACAATTGATAGCAATTATATAGCAGCAACATTTTAGATTTATAAATATAATAAGTAAAAAAGAAAAAAGACTATACTCAAATACATTCATTTACGAAAAAGACTACGATAGACTTGAAACTGACAGTAGTTTATTCCTCCCGTGATGTTTCAATAGCAATTAGTGAATCAAGCTCGATTTTAGGATGACTAATTAATGCAAATTTCATAAAATTGAGACCCAAATAAGTTCTCATATTAATCATAAATGTTAAAAATCCTAATGCCATTCAAGACTCTAAGTTGACGGTAATTAATTGACATATACCTCCAACCAAGAGATTGTGAGTTCGATCCCCCACCCCAAGATATGACACAAGGTGAAAATCAAACTTTTTTCTTTTTTTCTTTTTTAACCTTTAAACTATTCACCCATCCTTAGGAGTGTTTTAAAAAATCGATAATTCGAAAAATACAGAATAACCCAACCCACAGTTTGAAATTTGTTTGGGTCGAATTCGGTTCAAATAAATGGAAATTCTATGAATTTGATTGTTGGTAGGATTCACCTAAATTAAATATGACGAACTCAAACTTATTATTAATTTTAAGATTATCTCTTTTACTCAATCATAAAAATTAGATATGGTTACATTTATTTTAATTTTATTTCATTAATAATTCTTTTTGGATTATTTATTCACCGACTTCTAAATTTAACTATATTTAATTTTAAGTTTTTAATAGGTACATTTTTATCATATAAATAAACATAGACTTACATATCTTGATTCAATCTTAGACAATAGGATTATTACAAGATTCAATGTTATATAAATAGTTCTTTAAAATATTATCATTTACTTTTTTTTTATTTTTGTTATACAATACTTTGAATAAGTGACCTAAATAATCCGAACCCAACTATTTAATAAATGTTGTTTGGATTTAATAAATTTACGATCCAAAAATTGATCTAAAACATACCTCAACCCAACCCATAAACGCTCGTACTGATTTCTATAGCAATACTGACCTCAACCTACCTTTTCAATCCATAAGCAAGATTTCCAGTCAAGGGGCCATTAAGGCCACAATTAAAAATTAAAATAAATAAGTAAATAAGTAAGAGAAGAAAAAAAATATATATCAAAGATTAAATTACAACAACTCAACTCCTCACTAAACTTTACAGAAACTCGTCAACTTGAACATACCTCAATTGATAAAAAAACATACATATATCTCCAACCAAATGGTTATTAGTTCAAATTCTCACCTCATATATTGTTGTACTAAAAAAATAAGTAAAAATCTAACCCGGACAAAAACGAAAACCAAGAATTAAAATTCTAATTAAAAAAAAAGACTAACAAATAAATGCTTTGAGAAATAAAGGACACATAATTTCCACAATCACTGAACCTAATTAACTGTGAAATTAGTGTAATATATATCAATAACCTTCCATAATCTCTAAGATTAATTTGGATAATTAACCCTACCTAATCCTTATAAATACATATCCCATTTCACTATCTTTATATTGCCCTATTATTTCTCTCAAGAACAATCAGTAAATAAAAAATGGCCCCTAGCTTTGTTTCTAAGAGATTGATTCTCTTCATCCTCATCGTCTTCCTCTCGTCTTGCATTGGTATGATATATTTTCTCGATATCGTTTCATAACAATTTTTCATTTTCCAAAACTACGTTTCCTTGGTCTTGTTTGATAAGCATTTGAAATAATTATGTCGTGATATTTGCAGAAATAATGGGTGAATATGTGTGCCAAACTAACTGTGATGATGTGCAAGTTTGTGATGAGTACTGCAGAAGAGCTGGTTACAATCGAGGAAGATGCTCTCCTCAACTCAATTTTTGTTGCTGCCAAACCTAATCAAAATAATATAAATTATGCTAATTCTCTCTTTATTGAACCCAAATTTGCATGCCACACACTTACATAAAATTACAATATCAACCTTTTCTTGATCATATGGAATAAAAATGGGTTCTAAATTTTAGTGTTTTTTTTTTCTAATGAGTTGTATGTTTGATATTGATTAATAGGTTTCTGTTAAGAATATACTGATTAAATTTTGAGAAAAATGGTAAAATCCATCCAGAAATCATAGGCGTTGTTATAATCATACTCTCAAACTTTCAGTTTAATCGATCATTTTTGTGAACTTATGAAATCATTACAATTAAACCCTTAAATATGGTAAAATGCACATGAAGATTGTTAATTACCATCAAACCTTCAAATATAGATTATTAATTACAATTTATTTATTAATTTTTTATAGCGATTGTGACAATTTATTTAACCCAAGTTTTTTTAAATTATATAAAATTTAAAAAATAATATTAACCATTAACAACATTTTTCTCTTCAAAAGAAAGTAATCATTAAAAATTTTTATTTTCAGGAAACAAAAATTGAATTAAAATTTTGGGTTTTATGGTAACAATGGTTTGATTGTAACCCTACTTATATAATTTATTGGTGATTTGTGTGTAGTTAACAATATTTAAGAGTTTAATTACATAATTACAACAATTTAGTACTTAGAGGGAGAAAGTCATGGTAATAATTCCGAAAATTAAAGAGTAGTTTATACAATTTTTCATTAAATATTGTCAACAAATTTTATGATAATTTAACATATTACCAAAATAAATTCACAATCTTAAAATAATTTAATTTTCCTCATTCATATCTTGTGCCAATATCCTATCAGTTTCCCACCTTCACATTTGCAATATTATATCTAAAAATTAAAAATAATAAAATAATAGAAATAGAAATAAGGTTCCTGATACCTTAAAAATAAAACTACAGGATTTCTTGAGTTGATTGTATTGAAAATTCGTGCGATTTTATCCCGGTTTTAAATGTTAGGTCTGATGGAAATATTAGTCTCATAGCAATATTCATGTCGAAAATATTTCTAAAAATTCATAATAAATATTTAAAATAACAAATAAATATTTAACTTTTTTTAATATCAATATTATTAATATGTTTATATTAGTAATATTTTTTACATTTTGTCAATTTTTTTCAATACCTATGAAATGTCAATTTACTCTTCATCTAGATATATATGAAGCATAGACATACAGAAATACAGACATATCGATAAAAAAATTTAATGAACCAGTACTTGTAATCGAAAAAAAGATATACTTCTTGTATTTTTCATTACATTAATGGAGAGTTTAGGGAAATGGAAAACTACTGTAAAACTGCTTCTGAAAAGATCAAATATATTCCTGAAATTAGGGCTGACCCAAAAAGGTGGCAGTTTAGCCATGAAAGTAGAGAAGATAATGTCCCATCCTCCACTTATTACTCCATTTTCCCAACACCAAAACCCACAGAAATAGCTTCCTTTTAAAGTGCTTTTTTAAAAAAAAAATAAAAAAAAAATTTCAAACTTTAATTTCTATTTAAGTTTCCGAAGAAGAAGAGAGCCAAGAAGATCAGATGAGAATGTCAACTTTGAAACACACTGCAAAGCTTTCTAAATATTTGTTTACACCAAAATCCAATGCTTCTTTTGGTCATAAAGCCTTCATCTCCTCTTACCCAACACTTTCAAAAGTCAGTAATTTTCCATATTTTTGCTTCTTTTTCTTCTTCTTCTTCTTACAAATTATTATGCTTTTAGATTTCTGATTAATTATAATTATAGTGGGAGTTTATGATCTCTTTTAATTGAATTTCTTATTGTGTGATTGGGTTTGTTTTTAGATGCTTTTCCTTGATTTTGGCGACTATAATGGTGACTTGTTTCTCCTATTATTATATCTAAACCATACAATTAATGAAAAAAGGCCCAATTCCTGCTCTGTGAGCTAGATTAGAGAATTTTCATTTTATGTTTATTTGGTTGTGAGAATGCATTATTTCTTAATAATTGAAGGTAATATAATTGTTTTTCTAGCGTCGGAGGTGGGGATTCAAACTCTCAATCTCATGGTTGAATGCATATGCCTTAACCCACTGAGATATGTTCTTGTCGGCAAAATCTAACTGTTGTTTATTTGTTAATTAATTAAGTTATGTTTCCTTTATTTATATTTTCATTCTTCTTAATCAAAGATGATTTGTTTAATAAAAAAAAATAGGCTAAATATATCTGTTTCGTTTTTTTTTTTTGTCTTATAATTAACCCAATGTGTCGTGTTGCTTACGCCAGCATCGGTGATGCAATGTAAGTTCAGCATCGGTGATCAATTTTAACATCCACTAACGACGAGCGCCGATTAAATTGAAAGAAAATTCCCCACCAAGAAACATATACACATGATTATGTGTTTAAATTGTTGGGATGTATTGAAGTTTTGTAATTGAAAAGTAAAGTGTTGGGAAATTGCAGTCGAAGACGACGGATGAAGAGACTGTGGATGCATGTGTGAAGACTAAAGAAGCAGCAGAAGCAGTGAAAGAAAGTGCAAGAGAAGTCAGAGAAACAAGTGAATTCCTTAAAGACACTGTGGCCTCCACTGCCAAATGTGTAAGCCAATTCATTCTAAAACCCAATCTTCCCCCTTAATTCATTTTAATTTTATCATTCTTCCCCTCTACATAAAATCAAAATCCAACTTCATTAATGACCCAAAAAAAATAAAAATCAGGTCATTTGTTTCAAGATTTGTGGTGAGAGGTAGCGGGTAGGAATTTGAACCTATAACTTCAACCATTATAGGGTTAATTAGGAGAAGATTGGTTCAAACTCATGATGACCCCTGTCTTAGAAATTAATAATTCATATGTGTTTCCTAGTACAAAATGTTGTAGAGTAAAGACTGTGAGATTAGTCGAGGTGTGCGAAAACTAGTCCGAAAACTCATGGATATCAAAATAAAAGAGGTTGGGTCTTAAGATTTGTGGGCAAAGTTTAGAAACGTATTAGTGGTTTGATTTGGTGAGGTGTAATATTTTGCCAACAAACATTTTTACAAAAGATTTTCAGACTAAAGATTAGAGACTATTTTGTATATTTAAGGTTACATATTTGATTCTTAAGCTAAGACAAGACTATTTTTGTATGTGGTAGTTGTTTCGGTGCGATCTGTCTGGAGGTGTACATAGAGGGTCAAGAAAGAAAAATGAGGATTTGAAAAAGAAACGACTTTGTCTTCTCAAAAATTAAAAATAGAAATCACAATGGTTATCTCATGGTGTCTAAATAACTTAATTTTCAATCCCAATTTGTGATCACTTCCCATCAGTTTCCTATATGGAAATATTGTTCTTTCCTATTGTCCTTTACTAGTAGTTGTTATATGGAATTGTTACACTGTAGGACTCTACTACTTCGTTTTGTTGTAGTAGTTGCTAAGAACAAGGGATCGTCATCTCAACCCTCCCAAGACTGACCCGATTATAGAAGGTCAGATTCGGGTTCTAGCCAAAGAGGACCTTATCAACGTTACACTCCAACAAACATCTCCATCTTTGAGATCCTTACTAATATTGAAGAGACAGGGATGGAGAAGCTTCTCAAGCGCCTCAAGAAACTTAGAGGAGATCCTAAAAAACGCAACAATTTGAACCGTTCAAATTCTTCCAAAACCTAGATCATCGTTTTAACCGTTATCAACTATCAAGGGGGCCAAATGGACGTACAGATCAGAAGCTCCAACGATACGTGATTAATCGGTCAAATTCATTGACTGAATTAATCAACATTCGATCTCGATATTTTGATACAAACTTTAGGAATTAACTATTAGTGATTTGATTTTGGTGGGGTTTTTTTTTTTTTCGTTTTGTTTTTTGATGAATGATTTGATGAAACAGGTATCAAAAATGACAAAGGAAGTGACAGGAAAGGTGAGTGAAACAGCAGAGAAGATAACAAAAACAGCAGAGAACATAACAGAGAAAGCAAAGGACACTGTCTCAGGAGCATGGGGAACTGCAAAGAACACTACTGGAATTATCAAGGACTTCATTGATAAATAGTAACTCTAGCCCGAACTCTATTATGCTACTTATTATGGTTGAGCTATGCTCGTGTTAGCTATAAATGATACTTTATTTGAATATATTTATTATGTTATATACAATACAAGATTTTGTAGGATTGAAATTTGATTGTATTTAGGCCCCGTTTACTTACCAAAGATTGGAATATAATAAGCAATCAGAACAAAAATGTTATTTCTTTGACGTTGTTTATATTGATGGTGGTTGTGGAATTGCTCCAGACAAGGTAAAAAAGTTACTTGGTTTGAAATTTGATTAGGGTTTAAGGTTAACATGGTATTTTTATTTTAAAAAAGAAAAATTCTATAACTCTTTTTGGTACGTTTTTTAACCAAACTTATAAAAATGGTCTTGTCCTAGCTTAAGAATGGTAAAAAGTATTTATTTTACACCCCTAATCAAGTTGGATTGGATGTTCATTTTCTCTCCATCGGAGTGAGAATCAAATAATACAAAGTTAAATATACAAAATGGTCACCGATCAATATTTTGACCGTTCAAAAGATCGGGACCATTTTGAGAACACGGGTTTAAGTCAAAGGGATTGGATTTTTACGAACAGTCTATGTTGTTTTGGATTTTTTTTTTTTTTCAAATCACTTCAATTCATGATTAAAATAGAAACAAAGAGGAGCTCTCCCCAAAGAACATGTGTGGTGAGTTGTTGGGGATGCCAAAATTAATTGACACAGGGAAACCCTAATAAATTATGTCCCTCCAATCAATAGTAAAAGAGAAATGCAAATTTGGGGTATTGAGGACTTTTTTGGAAATGGAATGCAAAAGACAATTTGTAGTACAAATAAGAGTGTCTGAAAAAATGAAAGTTTTTTTTTTTTTTTGGTAGTTTTGTTGATGTTTTTGAAACATGTGTTCATCTTTGTTTGCTTTGGGAACTCTCAAGGTCAGTAATGTAATTGATTGGAAGCTTGATGAGACAGTTCAGATAAATTATATGAAAATGGGTGTATTTTAGCAGAGCATCCAAATTTCTAACAAATTACCTTTGGTAGGAATAATGTTGAAGTTTTAATTTATGGTCTAGTTTTGGTTGGAGTGATTTCAAATGAATTTTATTATTTTATTACCAGAGAATGATTCGAAAAGATTTCAAATCGTGTTTTCATGTTTAAAAAAACAATGGGAATTTGCAAGATTTCATAGATGTTTTATTTTATTTTCCTTTATAAGGATGATTCAAGTAAAGAAATCTAATTACATTCATTTCGGAAAAAAAAATCGCTATGCTTTAAATCATTAGACTTTGTTAATGCCAAATGGAGGGTTAAAAAGGTAAGTAATGTCTTCATCAACCTATTTCCAAAAGAGGTTTTTTTAAAGTCCAACTGCGAGCTACAACGATCTATTAGATGATGTATTTAGATATTGCGATGCAATCATTATCACAATTTAATTGGGTGGGTATATTTTTAGGCTTTCACGATTTTTGTTTGCTAACTTCTAGAAACAAAAACCTAATTCCTTATTAATCAAATTAATAAACAAAAACCTAAGTCCTTATGAATAAGTTACAAAAGCATAAATGTTGATACTTATAACATTGGTTGGTAAGCATATGTTTCAACCTCTAATATTTCGTAGATTTTTCAATTCAGTCTTTATTATTCAAGAAGTTTCAATACGTAATCCTTTGCATTTTAACCTTTTTTCAACCATACTCTTTTGCATAAGTAAATATTTTAACACTACAAGAAATTTGAACTTCGCAGCTTACAAAATTGTCGCAATAGATACATATTTCGTCAGTAAAATATATTCCTGACGATTTTTTTCCGATCGTCAACATAACCCCGTAACGAAAGGTCTTTGGAGATGATATTAGGATTTCGTCGCTAAAAAAGCTATAGCAACGAATCAGATTTTGTCGAGAAAATCCAATATTATGCAAAACTTTTTGGCGATGACTTTATTTTTGTCGCGTAGGATACTTTTGACAACGAAAATGACGAAACTTGTGGCAACAAATTTCAAATTTGTCGTTATAGGATACTTATGGCGACGACAGTTACACTTCGTCATCAAAAATACCCTATAGCGATGAAAATAAAGTCATCGCCAAAAGTTTCGTCGGCGAAAAGGAAAATTCATGTCATGTAATGTAATATGGTTGATGATTGAGGACATGATATTCAGTAATTAGTTGGCATAAATTTAGAAAATAAATTAGGCCACGGCAGAAGTTTCAACATTTCCGCTCAATTTGGTCGCTTAATTCCAGTGTCACGCACATAAAAAGCTTACCAATCTTTCAATATTGAAACATAAAATACTAAATTGAAACATTTTTTAATAATGAAAATTAAGTAAAGAAAAACACCCAATATTAAGAACTAAAACATATATTTGGTCCTCTAAAAATATCTTATCTCATTCCAACCTCGATTACACAAAATCATTTTACGGCATATGTACTAAGATTGTTCGAAACACTCATCCAAGGAACAAATGTATATGTATATGGAAATTAGTTAGAAGTCTTTGGGAAGGAAAAGAAAAAGAGAGTGAGAGAATGACTGATGAATTGAGATTGGATTGTCTCTTTTGGCCATTAGGTTTTTGGGAGCATCTTTCTCCCCATTTCTCAAAAACCCTAAACAGTACACTACTTTAATGAGACAGCGAAAGAAAGCTCGCTGCCATGGCTGCAAACAAACAACAAATCTGGAATCAAAATTCTGCCCTCCAATTTCCACACTGTTTTTTCAAAGGTCGTGTCTATGAAATAAAGAAGAAATTTTGGTGAGGATTCCATGATTCTGCATTGTGTTTAAAAAAATATAAAGCCAGATCGATTTGATTCTCTTCTCTCGATCTGAAGGAAAAAAAGGGATTTTTTTGTTTTTTTTTTGGTTTTAAATTGTTTGTGTAGTTTTATCCAAATGGGGGAAGAAAATCAGTCCATTGGATGGGGAGAATCTTGGTCTTTTGATTTCTCCTTGTGGGTCGGAATGTGAGTTTGTGGAGTTTAATGATTGCAAATTTGGTTGTTGTCTTTGTTGAAGATTTCTTGTTGTTTTTTTATGTGTAATAATTATATACGAACATATAAGATCTGACAGAAGTTGAGAACATGCCTCTAATTCAAGTGAAGGGAAGATTCTTCGACGAATTCTTGTTGGATATTTTTCGTAAGAGGAGATAATTTGGTTATTATGCCTTAATCTAGGTTGAGATAGTTTTGAGATTTTTATTTGATAATGTATACTCGTTTTCTCTCAAAAGAGAAAAATATGACACGGTCAACCCGATCCAATTTTGGCATAATGATCGATTTTACTTTTGGTTTTTCACCCAAAAAATCAGAGACGTTGTCCCTCACTTATATACTCATAATCTCCCCTTATCTAGTTAAGGTGGGATTGTGGTTGCAATCCTAACAATCCTCCCCTCGAATAAAATATCACTGAGTCTCCTCTCAAATAATCATTCATTCATCCAACTTTTATCCAAGTCAACTCTTCTTCTTTGGAATACACCATGTGTCCAATAGAGCTCGACCACAAATCATAGCATGACTACCATTCTTTGTTTGGCATCTGCAGATTCTACTAACACGGCTAAGTCAGGGACATGGTCAAATACCAATGGTCTTCCCCTTATCTAACTGTTGTGGGACTTTGGTCGCAATCTCAACATAATCGAAAAGAATAGTGGTAAGAGAATAACATGTCGAAAATCATAATTAGATAGTATGAATTCATGTGTAAAGATCACCTAGTCAATAAAACGTTAGGGAGTTTTTAGATTTGGATGTATACTTGAAGTCATTATCAAGCAAGATCAATGATTATAGTGAAGTCACAACAAAGATATAACCATATTGAAAGGTGCGATAGGATCACCTTAAATGGAAGAGTTTATGGTCGTCTGTGTATTTTGGTTTGACGCTATTTTACACCATGAAAAAGAATTACAGCAAATGATTTGTCTAATATTTTTTAAAAGAAAGAAAAATACTCAAATATAGTTCCTTCATTATTGAATAAACTGGCTGGATGGATCACAAACATTGGTCTACATTAGTTTCAAGTCATGAAATATCAATCCTTTTTTTCCTTCTTTTTTACACCATTGAAAAGCCAGCAATGTTTTTAAATTCTTTTAATTTTTTTTTTTTTGGTTGATAAAGAAGCTTACAAATAAACAAACTTCCCAATTTTTGGCTTAGCATAATCAATCTATTTTACAAAAAATTCAACTCTTTCTGCCATTAGAGGATGATGATGAATAGAGCAATGAGGAAGCAGAAAAGCTTGTGTTATTGCTTTTAGGCAGCAAACTTCTGGTTGCCATTTTTGAAGAAGATGTTGCTGCTGAAATTGTAACTCCATTGATGTTTGAGCTCTTGTTGTTGTTGTTCTCTTGCCCTCCATTATTTGCAGGGGAGGAGCCAGATTTTAGCAGCACATCAACTTTTGCATACTCTTCTCTTTCATGTTTGATCTCTTTGAGCATCGCCGCCACGTCTTTCATCGTCGGTCGCTCGTCCGGTGTCGGGTTTACGCACAATAAGGCTATGCCTAAAACTYGCATCATCTCCTCTGTTTCTGTCTCTGGCCTTGATTGCAAACTTGGGTCAAGGACTTCATTCCCTCTCTTTCTTCTCACCCAATCTACCACGTGTAGTCCATCCGGTATCGTCGGGTCGATCGGTTGTTTTCCTGTTAAGACTTCGATTATGACAACGCCGTAGCTGTAGACATCGCTCTTCTCGGTTATCTTCATCATGTAGCCATACTCTGAAGTGTACAAAGTGGAAGTTAATTAGATCAGAAATATTTGTTCATCTCGTACCAATACCGGTCTTGTTTCGCTAGGTCTACATGATCTTGATCTTGCAAGTTCAATTGAACTTGACATGTTCGAGATTGGTTGATTTAGCAAAACAGGGTATTCAAGGAATTGGTTTAACTTAGCTTTCGTAAAAGGCGATTGTTTTCAAGTGACTGAATAAAAATGCTTACCAGGAGCGATGTAACCATAAGAACCTGCAACCGTGTTGGATGACCTGCCGAAATCTCCATTGTCGATAAGCTTGGCGAGGCCGAAATCTGCGATATAAGCCTCGAATTCAAGACCGATGAGAATGTTGTTGGCCTTAATGTCCCTATGAACAATCGGAGGGACACAATCATGGTGTAAATAGGCAAGGCCTTGTGCTGCACCTAGTAAGATTTGGTACCTAAGATCCCATTCCAAGGCATTTCCATTTCTCTCATGTAGGAGACTTCCCAAGCTACCATTCGGCATATAATCGTACATTAGGAGCCTCGTGCTTCGATTCGAACAACAGCCTAAGAACCTGACGATGTTCTTGTGGCGAATCGAGCCTAGAGTCTTAACTTCTGCAGAAAACGAATCTCGAACCCCACACTTGTCGTCGTTGTAGCTATTATCTGTTGCCATCAATGTTGGCCACAGCTTCTTCACTGCAATCACTTCTCCGTTGTCCATTTCCGCTCGATAAACCACCCCCGAACACCCTTTTCCGATCGCATTAGCATCCACAAGGCACCTCAACACTTCCTCAACAGAGAAATTCAGCTTCTGGAATGGTGTGAATTGCCATGGCCATGTGTCTCCCAGCTCCGAATCATCGTCTCGAACCATTGTTCGAGCCCGAATCACAGCGATCACCCCCATTACTATCATCACAACCGTCAGGACAATGAGCAACGCAATTGCTAGCTTAAGCTTTCTTGATCTCCCCGTATCATCCCCGTCTCTCGCAAGTCCTCCCTTGCCCGAATCTGTCAAGAAGCACGAATCCCGAATCGAAGAACAGAGACCATTGTTGCCAGCCAAGTCAGTTGGCGATAGTTGTCTGAAAAGTTTGTTGTCCGGGAGATAACCAGTGAAGTTATTGAAAGAAATGTTAAGCGAGACGAGATTATCGAGCCCGGCAAGTGCCTTCAAATCACCCTCAAGCCTGTTATGTGAAAGGTCTAGAACAGAGAGCTTAGTAAGTCCAGACATTTGAGAAGGCAATGAGCCAGTCAAGCCATTAAAACTAAGGTTGAGAGCAATCTCAAGTGATTCGATCAAACCTAACTCGATCGGTACGTTCCCGGTCAGCTGATTGCTACTGAGATCAAGTAGTTGCAGACTTGAACAGAGTTTCAGTGATGTGGGAATTGTTCCTGAAAAAGAGTTTCTTGCTAGAATGAGCTTATTCAAAGAAACAAGATGTCCCAAAGTAGCTGAAATTTGACCATCAAATTGATTAGATGAAAAATCCAAAACTTGAAGCTGAGAAAGAGAAGAAACTGACTCGGGCAATGGACCTTTCAGTCCATTGTAGCTGAGATCAATCATTTCCAAAGCTCTACAATTCCCAATCTCATCAGGCAGAGACCCTGAAAGATGATTTCCTGACAAATCAAGGAAATCCAAGCTCTTAAGCGCCCCCATCGACTTGGGAATCTCCCCCGCAATCCGATTGCTCCCGAGCCTCATCCTCACAAGAGAGCTGCAGTTACCAACATCAGGTGGCAATGTCCCAGAGATATCATTGGAAATCAAAAGAAGCTTAGTCAAGTTTTGGAGGTGAAACAATCCAGAAGGAATGCTGCCCGTTAACGAGTTGTGCGACAAATCGAGCGCTTGAAGATTCGAACAATTCGACAAACTTGAAGGAATGCTTCCTTCAAGCTGATTCTGCCAAGCAAAGAACACATTCAACTTCCACAACATCCCCAACTCTGGTGGGATCAAACCAGAAATCTCATTACTATCAAGCTGCAACTGCAAAAGATTTGTGGCATTGGAAAGATTTGAAGGAATCGAACCAGAAACATTATTGCTACTAATCATGAACTCCTCAAGCAAAGAAAGCCCCCCAATTGTCAAAGGAATAGCCCCAGAAAGAGAATTCAAAGAAAGATCAATCTTTCTCAAGCTCACACACCCACCAATTTCAGGTGGGATTGCTCCAATCAACTCATTCTGCCATAGAAACAGCTGCTCAAGTTTCTGCAGCTTCCCAATCTCCGGTGGGATAGAGCCAGAGAGGCTGTTTTCATAAAGAAATAAGTTCACAAGCTCAGAACATTTACCTAACTCCGGCGGGATCTCGCCGGAGACCATCGTGGTGTAAATGGACAAAGTTTGAAGCTTTTGCAGTCTGCCCAAAGAACCAGGCAAAGGGCCTGAAATTCGAGTGTCAGCAAGCCCCAAAATGGTCAAATTCCTGCAACTTCCGATCTCCTCTGGGATTTCTCCGGCCATGTCTCTGTTTCCTCCGGCCCGGAGAATCTCAAGACTCCCCATTTTTCCCACCCCAGAAGGGATTCCCCCACTCAGCCTATTGTCATACAGCAGCAGATTCTTGAGGGCTCTGCAATTGGTGAGCTCCACTGGGATTTTCCCTGTCAGCTGGTTGGAGTTCAAGACCAAATCCTCAAGGTTCTCGAGCTTTCCAAAGGTTGTGGGGATTGTTCCCACGAGGGTGTTGAAGGAGAGGTCAATGAGAGCGAGTTCAGAGCAGTCACCAATGTCAGAGGGAATGGGGCCTGTGAGATTAGCATCAGAAATCACCAGCCTTTGAAGGAACTGAAAAGAGGATAGATTCGAGGGCAAAGGGAGCTGAAGAGGGATTGAAACAATGTTGATTTCAGTGACAAATCCTTGGGGAGAGCAAACAATGGAGGTCCAGTTACAGGGGGTTGAGTCAAGGACATTCCAATTTGAGAAAACAGGGGAAGAACTGGTGTGAAGCCATGAGAGGAGGATTGAAGCTTCATGGTTTGGTGCAGAAAATGAGGAATTAAAGAAGAAGAAGAAGATGATGATGATGAAGGGGAGGGATTGGATGGACATTTGCCTCAAATTCCAAACTTTTCTTCTTGGGTTTGCATAATTTTGGGGTTTGGAAAACTCTCTCTTTTCTCTCTTGTTATGGGAGTGTGAGTTTTTGAGAGTGTTTGCTCTTCCTTGCCATGAACTCAAGCTCAAGGGAAGAGGGAGTACAAATACCTAGGATTTGTTTCTTTAAAAATTTCAAAAAGAAAACAAGACAATGATAATGCCATACATAGCAAACCAAACCCACCAAAGAAACACACACAAAAACTTGACGTATTTTAAGTTAATGTTTGGATTCTCTCTTTTCCTTTTGGTCCTTCTTCTTTTACTAATTTCTATTTCATCTCCCATGTAGTGATTTTCCCTTTTGGGTAAGTTTTATTGTCACAGAATAGTAAAATTAACCGACAAAAAGATGATGTAATGTTATATAGGTTTTATTAATTGAGTTGAAATCATTTTATGTTGGTTAAAAAATTCTTTTAGTTTGTGTATTTTTGTTGAAGTAATAATTTACACTACAAACTTTAGTTTATAACGATTTAGTATTTATATTTTCAAATTGTAACAATTTAGTCTCCTAAACTTTGGTTTGCTAACGATTTAGTTAATGTAGTTTAAAGTTTGTAACAGTTTAGTCTCTATATTTAAAAAGTTTAAAATTTGTAGATCGATGAATCAATGAGTGACTAAATATGCTTATAAATTACGAAGACTAAATTGTTTCATGATAGAAATAGATACTTAATTTTAATGCGATTTTTCATGGTAGGAATTAAATTATTGCAAATTTTAAATTACAGGAAAACAAATTGTTACATACTAAAGGACTAAACTATTACCAATTTAAAAGGGTAAGGAATTAAATCGTTACAAACAAAGGTTCGTGGACTTGATCATTACTTTAACGAAAAGTATAAAGACCAAATATATTTTTTAACTTTTTAGGTTTCAATTTGATAATAATACCACTCCCCCATAAAATTTAAAACTCACGGTCAAACTTACTGTACAGGATGCATAGCTTAAAAATTTTTCTTTTTTCTGTTTAAAAGAACAACTTTTTTTTACTACAAGCATAACTTAACTATTAAGGCACCAACGACATTGTAGATTGAAGGTACAAGTCCTTACCCCATACTTGTACTACTGTAATCTGAAACAGATAAATACTAATAATAATAAACTTACTTATAACACGCAAAATTGCTCGTTATAATAGAAAATATGATATATATCGACATTCTTTTAAACATTTAGTGGCATCAATCTAACTTAATCGAAAAAGAATTTGTTGGGTTTGTAAGGCAGTGCAAACAAAATCTCACATTGATTAGGAAAGGTAATAATCATAACTACAGAAGAGAGTTCAATTATATTCATTGGTACGAGGCTTTTGGGTGAAACTAAAAGCAAAGCATAAAAATACTTGGGGTACGGTTGTCCTCGACACAATTTAATACACATCCCACGTAAAAGCGAAAATTTTTAAAAGATTAAGTAACAAAATTGAAAAGGGAACTAATGATTGACACTAAATATATATTTAGCCAATTTTTTTTTAAATCCTAGGACATAATTGAAAATAATTCCACGTATAAAACCTATATATCTAAAGATTTCACATGGGTTAATATTTCTAGAAAAGTTATAAAAATCAAAAATTTATAACAAATTATATTTAAATTAATAAATAAATATTTAAGTTATAAATTATCAATAGTATGTCTATATTAGTAATCAGTTTGACATTTTTTATATTTTATCAATTTTTTATACAATTAAAATATCAATTCATCTTTTGTGTTGTAACTCATGAAAATATAAAAATATCTATAGACGGAAGATGAAATTGAAAAATTCAAGAGATTAGCTAGGGGCCTAATCATAAAAAACACAAAAGATAGGGGACTAAAATATATACATTTACCAAAACTCAAAAAGAAAACAATAATGCCATACAAAGCAACCCCCTAAAAAAAAGAAGAAGAAGAAGAACACACGAAACTTAAATAAATAATTAAATTAAATAACCAAAATATATTTAATTAAGACTCGACAGAATTAATAAAACCAAATTTTTTAGAACTCCAATGTCTTGAGATCGGCGAACCTGCAGCACCAGCCACCACCCTCTCCACCACCCTCTTTCATATATATTATCAGAAAGAAAAAAGTACGAAATAAACAAATAATTAAAATAAAGTTTTTAGCTTAGAAAATTGCCTCTTTTGATTAAAAAAATCTCCCATTTCAGAAAAATTAATTAATTAGTACACAAAAACTTTCGTATTTCATAAAATGGTTTGGTAGATTGGTTCACGCGGCCTCTGCAGAACCCACGTGACAAAGACGGTGAAAACTCTCACCTTTAACGTTAAATTATATTTACAGTGTTAACTTTTTAACCTCCATCAGATTTCAGAGAGAATTTAATTTGGTAAAAAAGCCAAGCAACAACTATAATCTATGGAGGATGTCTTAAAAACCCTATCTCAATATTGCTATTCTCTCCGGTAACTTACGCGTCGATCCTCGGAAAACTATTCAATGTAGTTGTCCCTCTCTAAACTCTTGAATACAACGGTTAAGTTATATGACTTTTAGTTTCTCTTTTCTGTAGTCGACGGTATAAAACTGTCAAACGTATTGTTCCAGTCTCCTCAAATGATTGATCTTATCAATGATCTATTAGACTTTTTTTCTTTTTTAATTTGAGGGGCCTATTTAGATATATAATTGAAAGGTTAGGAACGTATTAGACACAAATTTAAAAGTTTAAAAACCCACTAGATAATTTCTTAAGTTCTGGATAACCAATTAGATCATATGACACTTTTTCAAGTTCCGGGATCAAACAGAGACACAATTTGTCCCTATACCTAGGGTATACGCACTGTCCCCGTACACGTACATTCACAATGGGTCATTGCTTTGTGGAGTTGGGTTCCATGTAACTTGAACCTAAGACGTCAAAGATATTTCTTAAGGTCCCAAGTCACACAAGCTATCCCTTGAGGTTGTAATTTAACCAAAATTTTATGTGCGGTGAAAAATATATCGAGAGACCAAGATTAGGGTTTTTGACCATTTTGTTTGGTTATATTTCAATACAAGATGATAGCAACTGTGTGGAGTGACTCTTTTGGCTGCCCCCACAAATTAAAGGGGTTGTTTTTCTTGAGGTTAAAAGGGTTTTTTTGAGTTTAGATTGACTTGTTTTTCTTCTCCATTTATACTTTGGCCATTATTTCATGTGCTGTCAGCCAAAGGACAGATAAAAAGAGAATTGAAAATGTCATTTCATCTTCATTGTCTCTTTATTGGGTTCAAAAATGGGTAGAAGAGCAAAACCTATTTTTTCTTCACTATTCATAGTGGAGAGAGGGACTTGAGTTTCAAATATTTAAGCTCTAAGATAATGGTGCAATTGCAAAGGACAAAGGGGGCTCTCATTTCCTATACAAAACTAGGCTTGGAAAAAAGAGGTCTTTTACTTTGCCCTAAAAAGGGAAATTCCCAAATGATTGATTAAATATAGATGAATCCCTTTCAATTTCTTGCAACTCACATGAAGCCATGGTTGCAAAATGTAACTCTAGGGGAAGAGTCAAATTATCGGGTGCATCCTATATTTCCATCATCGTCATAAGGTTAATTCTGGTGCTTTCTGGTTCAAATATTCGAGAGTCGATTTCGTTTCTTGTTACAAAGAAATAATTAAAAAAATAATTTGTTGTGTTCTTTTTCAAAAAGGTTACAAGTCGAAGTCCATAAGAGCAAAATAAAAAGAAAAATATGACTCGCTAATTAGTTTTATCTAATATAATATTTTAAGAAGTATATAAATTTGCCCTCTCTAAATTTTTAGAATTGAAATATTATATACATAAAAAGTTATAACGTACAACTTTTTCCCTTAGGAAAATTTAAAGTTTGCTGTTAATAGGAAGTAATAAAATCTCATTAGGACTACCTACCTTAGAATTAGTAATTTTTAGGTTATGCGGTTGCCCTGTAAAATTAATCGAGGTGCGTATAAACTGATCCGGACACTCACGGATAAAAAAAAAAGTAAATAAAAGATTTTGAATTAGAATAGATGAAGCCTTTAAGTCCGATGAACTTTTGTAAATCACTGCCACGTAATTCACTAACATAAATAATAATAGAGATTACAATTATAAAATGCAAATGATTATTGATTTTTTTCAAACAATTATATAATTCATTAGCTCAATTATTCATTTTTTTCATTTCTTTACAAAAACTACATATCCCCTAAAACTTTTTTTTTCCATGAATTATTACCAACATGGACCAATATTATATAATTATTTGTATATTTTGAAAACAACAACAATAGATGGCAAATATATAAAAGAAGAAAACAACAAAAACATATAAATTAAACAATAATAAAAATACAATATAATAATATGTGTGGTTGCATTCAAAACACAATCAATACCCTAAACCATACAACATTGTAGCATGAATGAAATAGTAATAAATTCTAAAAGAGTAGAGCCCTACACCCTAATATATAAAAAATAATAAATAAATATTGTAGCATTAAATAATATGAACAGTATATGTGGTAAATTCTTGATAGGTAAATCCAGAGGGAACAATCAGAAAATTCTATGATGTGAGAGTGAGAGTGAAATAAAGGGAGGATTTGTCAATTTCCAAACAGTGAAAATATAATTGTGATTTAGACATAAGATTCAGAACATGTCTTTATCAGACCAACCACCTCTGAGAACATTTTATTATCAACTTTCCTTAATCCTTAAATTGTCCAGCTTTTTAGCCTTCTGCTCTTTTAGCTTTTACCAACAGTAAATAAACTGTTCAATAAAACCATAAAGTGAATTTTGTTGTGTCAATAATCATATTAGCTTACTTTCAAAGAAACACACCTGAATCCATAATTAATAAACATATATGATAGATTGCTAATTAAGCAAAGTTTTTGCTGCTTGATCTATAAATGTCATGGGTAGCCCTCTCGTCTGGAAATACATGTTCTGGCATCGGCTCTGATAAATCGATGACGAGACGAGCTAGGCCAAACTATCTTTGACTAAACCAACGAAAGCTCTCATCTCGTTAGGAAAAATATGTCCAAACATCAATTGAGACAAATCGATGATGAGACGAGCTAAGCCCAAAGCTACTCTGACCCGCC